TGAGTACACACGATTAGTGCACCCCATTAATTATTACTCGGTAAATAAAACGAGAATACTCGATACATTGGCGATTAGATCGATCGATACCGATTGGGGTCCGGCATCGCTAAATAATGCGTCAAACGTGGAGGACAGAGTGAGACAGCCAGAGAGAATGGTGGAGTCTGTTTGAGGGTATATTTACAGACTCCGTACGTACCCGAATTTCGAACATCGTTTGCAACGTTAATGATCATTTTCCGTAATTAATTACGTGGTTGAAACTGGCGTTAATTAGTGAGTGATGGAAAGAAAATTAAACGAGGCTAAAATTTCTAATTTATTTTCTAAATCGTGATGACCTAAATCAAATCACATTATCAAATTCAATCTAATGAACATTCCTCTCCACAATTTCACTTCTAAATTAATTAATGAATTTCCTCGAAATAAAAATCGAATTGATAGACTTTGACCCCTAAATAATGACGACGTGAGTGAAATTCCATCTAGAATTGAATCAAATAACCGTTTAATTATTAATTAGTGCACAATCAGACATTCCCCAGTTATGCATATTCGATCAACGTCATAATCGATCCAAGCAGTCCATGGATTTGAGTTTAAACTCCACAGAATCGGATGGAAACACAAACTAACCCTCTAGTTGCGACCTATACTCATTGAATCTATTTCCCAACTGTATGGCATACTCCCTTATACGTAACACGCCCGCTACCTATATTATTAACGTGTAATTGAATGCCCGTGAGCTTGCACAGGGAATATTCTATTGTGCAAAGTCGCGTGCGCACCGCAAGTTAATTAAGACCCTCTAATGAACCCGGACCGACGGCGCGCAAACGACGCCGTGTACTCTCTTTCTCAAGAACACTAGCGTCTCAATCGATGAATTAAAAGAAGTTGGAACAGTGGAATTACTCTGTGTCGTGGGAATAATATTATTGACTGCTGGGAGACTGGTGTTTTAATTAACCTTCGGGTGAATTCGTCAAATACACGGTTGGAGAAATATTCCAATGTCATGGAAAGTTTAGTTTATTTAATTCGTTTTAGGGGAATAAGAAATAATCAAACTTGAACATTTACTGGAAATTCAATGGCATTTCAGATTTTTTAGCTGCAAAAAGACGAGCAGTTCACAATTTATTTGGGTTTTCAATGAAAATATGAATATCGAGTGCCGATGGATTGATAGAGTAATTTTTTTTATTTTCATGGGTTAGTTAAAAGGAAATTTACAGATTTCATCGATTTTCCGATGTTCAATTCTGGTAAAAATAAATTGAAAAATTTAATTTAATTTCATTTAATTTACTTTTTTTAAATGTTAATTAGGAAATTTTTGAATGAAAACATAAATATTTAGTACCAAAAATCCTCAATATTCAATTAATTATGAATGTAAGAATATATTTACTCGAAGTTTTCTAAATTTTATCAATTTTTATTGAATAATTGATGTTGACAGTTTTCATTGATTTTATTGTAAAATCGTTCATTCGGTTCTAATAGATAATTGATTTGCAATGAATGAATTCGTTTTTTCATATAATCAGAACATTTTCGTTGAAATGAATATGTGAGTTTATCAATTTCCCAGAAAAATATTGTTAAGCTGAATAAAAATATAAAAAAAAGAAAAGTTATTTGATTCAAATGTGTCATTTCTCTGGGTGCAGAGGCCGCATTCAAATTCAATTAACACTATAAAAGTTAATCCCCCCAGTTTAAACACTCGAAAATATCCCGATTCAGAGATTACGGAACAAAAATTATATGAAATCCACGGTACATACACTTTTTTTGTTCAGTTATATACTTCCGACTTTTGTTACCGAGAGAAAAAGGGCTTGAGCACGGGGTGAAGCAGCTGATATATAAAACCCGGGGTTTGGAGAATTTCTTATCTGATGAAAAGCGTGGTTAAACCCGAGTATAAATTTGCTATTCTACATTGGCGGAGGAGTCATGGTGACTGAGAAACCCTTCTTTTTATTCGGCGAGAATTAAAGTCACTTCTTCAGTACTCCATGAAAAAAAAATCTTCATTCATTTTCTGATATGAGTAATAGAGCAATGAATAATAAGAATGAATATAACTATGATTTTCTGCGCGGTTAGAAATTTTTTCCTAAAATGTCCTGCTTACTTTTAACATTTTTAACAAGTGATACACGAAGAGAAATTTTTTAGAAAAATTCTATTACGAGTACTGGAAAAAATCACAATCCACCGGCTGTGAAAAATTCTAGTGCTGTTAAGGTCAAATTTCTTGATATTTCTGGTAAAATTTCTGGGGATTTCTGTGAAATTTTTGCAGAAATACGCGGAAAAATTCACGTTTTCCTCAATAGAATTTCTCGTGTCAGCGCTGGAATTTTTTCCTGGCCGTCACTTTGCGCCTCTTTTCCGATGCTAGCACTAGAATTTTTCTAAAAAATTTCTCTCCGTGTAGTTCCATTATTCCCCATTTAAGCAATTATTTCTCAAATGACACTATTCTTATCTAATAAAGTCTTCATGTGGATCAAAAGAGAAAATTTGTTGATATAAAAAAACTATCAATTGGATTAAAATAACCAGTTTCTCTCGATATGGAAAATGAATTGAATTCAAACTCCCTAAACTTCATATTTTGCCTGATGAGATTTTATTACCTCCAATTTCCGGATATTCAGCATCCCTTCTGGTTGTCAAATCAAAATTGTTTCATCGGTAATTCAATCCCTCTAAAAATATCATCTCGGTTGTAAAAATCTCATACAAAGAATCGTCTAAAAATGGTAAGTGGACTAGAATTTTTATCGTCACATTTCTGGGCAGTTGAGTCTATAAACCATCGCACTTTTATGCTCACTTTTATCGTTCAATTCTACTCCTCTCATTCAATGCCAAGTATTCGGGTTCCCATTCGAAGATATAATCCCACTCCGTTCTCAATTTCTTCCACTGTTGTAAAAGAACGATAATTCACGATAAATTGTTCCCTTTTCGGTACATAAACATAGCCCGTGATTCGCATATTTTCTACGGATTAAGGTGGGCCTCACCGGCTGTTTACAACTTGAATACAGTTTTTACTTTGATTTGAGCAAGAATTAGGCATTTATTTCTGAAATCGTCATTTTCTGTTTCATTTCCATAAAATGTGGAAATTTCTCTTTCAATAGCCTCATATTGCCATTTAATATTCATGCTGTCGCACCATGTGCAGATGAAAATACAGATAATGAGGCTTGTAACTTCCAGAGAAATTATTCATTTTCATCCAATAAATAGATCTGTCTAAATCGCATTCATTCAAAATTCAACTTAATTTGCGTTTTTATTCACGTACAATGAATAATTCTTTAAAAATAAACAACCATTCTCTTGATCCAAACAAAGACTTCACTTGTTAGAAATGAAAGTCTTGTTTAGTCGGCGAGAAAAACGAATTAATTAACATGTAATAACGGGTTATTTAAATCAAATAAATTGCTTATTTGATTCTAATGAGGAATTCATTTGGAATTAATAGATTTTTAATTTCATATAATCAGAACAATGTCGAAAAAATCAACTTAAAATGAATAGAAAAATTTTAGTCGAATAACGAAAATTTTTATAGTATAGAATAACGATTTTTATCTTAAAAAAAAAATCAAATTTAGAATTTATTCCTCGCCCAATGTCCAGATATTTTCATCTGATATTTTTGTGGGAACATAATTAAGCTGGCTCACACGATGATATCAACATTTCTTCAAATTTGTACGCAAGTAAGAAACTACAAATTTCAAAACTCGGAGCTGTTTGCCTCTCTACGGCGTTCAGCCGAGAATGGAGAAAGGGGTTTGGAAAGGGGGATGACGGGTTGAAAGGGGGTGGAAACCCTCCACGCCAAAAGCTTACACTGTTAATTAACATACTGAGGGTGGCGTACTTGTACCCAGGATTGCTATCCAAGACGAGACTATACTGTTCTCCCTCCTTTAGAATAATAGGAGGGAAACTTTGTCATCCTCTGAAAAGCCATACTCAACCCCTTCATCGACAAATCGAACATTTTGAATTCTGAGGAAATTATAATTATGGGAAACAAAAGTGGAAAGTGAACGAGTGAGCAAAAAGTCGATGTGCTTAATGGCCTTGATTTTTGCCTGTTTGCATTTGAATAGTTTTTTAGACCCTGCAAAAATTGTAGTCTTTTTTTTGACAGTTTTATACAATAATTAAAAAATTGCATTATTGACTTTTGAATTGAATATTGACTTTTTTTCATAAATAATGTATAAAAAATCACTTTTCCGCTCTGAAAATATTTTTTTTTTAAACCGTGAGTCCTGTTTCCATATTTCCAATTCCACCAGAACAATCAAAAATTTTGCTGAAAATGTAAGAAAGGAGTAATTCTTTGCAAATTATTCTCACACAATTTACTTCACCAATGCGATGATTAAAAATGTCCGTTGTCTATCCATATTCATAAATGTGGCAAATTATTGTTGAGTGATGACAAAAGATTTCGCTATTCCCGGCGATATCTCAAGAAATGCCACGACATAAACGAAACAATAGCCCGAGAAGGGTGAACGAGAGTGTATTTTATTAGTCGTGAAACTCGTTGCCCTAGTCATGATGGTGCAAAACCACTGTGACTGTCGTGAGTCTCGAGACTGACTCATCTCACTTGAGCCATTCAACCCCACCCCCTCTTCTCAGCGGAAAATTATGTGGCATAGAAATTTGAAGGAGCAAAATCCGTTGGTGGGAAAGACTCCTTAGGTTACAGCCACTGCCAAGTGCCACTTATCCACCGTGATTCCTGAAAACGATAAAGTGATCTCTTATCCCACCAAGAAAGTTTGATGCATCTACCGAGATGGTATGCTTGAGTGGTTTCCAGATTTGTTTGTGTCGGTGGCGTTTTGGAGTTCACTTGACAGGGAATCAAGTGAAATTGTAATATAGGAGAGTTGGTTATGGTAGGTCGTAAAGAACTTCCTGGTTGGTGATTTCTGATGTCTATGTGCCTTTATTTCGAACAATAGAGGTTTACTTGAGTAAAAAATAATTTTTTGGATACACTGCACTCAGAGGTACGAAGCTTTTCTACGAAAGAACATTCTCATTTGCAATTCTCCTATTGATTTCAATAATATTGTTGTCGAGCATTAGTTGCACACTTCTCGTCACTCCTTATAATTCATTGAAAACATAAACACTAATTGCGTTTATCAATACGTTATCTATGAACTATTTTCTAGAAGAAAAAAACATTAATGTTACTTTAGTTGAAGTAGTAGACAACGTTGCGATTGATAACAGCCATATCCAATAGTTATTCTAGACGTCTTAATCGTATCCAAGCTCCACCTTTGATATACGGCAGGAAGCTCAAAGGATCCAATACCACGGGCTCTTGCAATTTTGGAGATTTCTCAATGACAAAGTTCCTCAAAACATTCACAATAACCAGCTTGACAACGAGAATCGCCATTCTCATCCCCGGACACATCCTGGGGCCTTCTCCAAACGGCAGATAAACGTAATTATGCCTCTGTTTGCATTCCTCGGACTCCTTGTCAAAGCGATCTGGTCGAAATTCGTAAGGTCTATCCCAGTGAGCAGGATCTTTATGCAGACCGTAGATCGAGAGGACAACCTTGTCACCTGGTTTCATCTTACTTCGAAGACCATCCGAACCCACAAGTTCCGTCTCCTCAGAGCACAATTTTCTCAACAATGCCGCGATAGGATGAAGCCTGATGGACTCGGACATCACCTGATCCAAATACGTCATTTCGCTGACAGCTTCGTACGGAATTTCACCTCCAAACTTACTGGCAACGGAATTGATCTCCTCCCTCAATTTATCTTGAACTTCTGGATACTGCGCCAGATCACAAGCGAGGAAGCTCATGGTCAAGCTGGATGTCTCATAGCTCTCTATGAAGAACGCGAACACCGTGGAGATCACAGAAGCCCGTGGTATATTCTTCTCAGCGCGATACTCAGTCAGATTCTGAAGGACATCTTCCCTTTTGGTCTTCCCACTTTCTCTCTCGTCTATCAAATTCTCCACAATGTTTGTGAATCGTTTGTTGACCCACTTGGGCACAAAACTCATTCTGAAGAAGCTGTTCAACGCTGGAAAGAATAATAACGCAATACCTTTGATGGTTTGCAGGGTCGAACGTGCGAAAACCGTCTCCATCATGTTCTTGAAAATCTTCGGAGAGTCGTCATTGAACATTCCTTCTTCAACACTCAGAACTGCATTGGCGGACACCTCAACAGTCACTCTTTTGAAGAGGGCTTTGCCTTCAAGGTCTATAGTCTTTTTGCTCTCCAACTGATTATTCAGATATTTGATGAATTTCGAACAACCATCGCGGAGAACTAACGAAAGTGCCTTCAATTTCTTGGATGTCATCGTGGAAAGGACAACACTGCGCGCGTCCTTCCACTTCTGGTCATTCAAGAAGAACGGATTTTGGTCCATCAAAGGGTCAAAGTCGGTCTGCATCGTTTGATGATGACGGAAGTTGTTGAATTGGGTTTGCAGAACAGTCTTCACCAGGTCTGCATCTCTTATCAATAGCACTGGCTTCCTCATCATGTATATACCGACCATGCTGCTTTTGGAATAATCTTGATGGATCTCCTCCAAAACATTCACCAAAGCTTTCCTCATGGTGAAGGTTGGTAACAGGTGTCCAAAGCCCGGAACAACTCCGGCGGGAACAGGAATTCCTCTCTCCTTCCAATAACCATAATTCACGGTTAAACAACGATAGAGTAACAGAATGAATACAACTATGAGAGCTATCGTTATACTATAGATTAGCTCCATGGCACTTGTTATTCCCCTCGAATTGCGTACAATGAATGCTCGCGAGCAACTGCGTTGTCTGCGTGAAGATTATTCTATTTAAAGATGACCGTGGGTTCGCCAGTTATGGCCGTGAAGTGATGTTGATTTATCATTTGACGAATAATCTCAAAGTGCGAAACTGGTTTTGCATGTTGGTTTTTACCACTAATACTGCCGATCGAAGGCTCTATATTTTTAATATTGCCCGAGAAATTTTTTTCTATGAAATTCGGTTGCATTTCAGTTGAAATTCTTGCAAATAATACTACTGTTTTTTTAATGTCATTTTTTCAATAATTATTACGTAGAAAGAAGATTTTGCTTGCTCTAGAAATTTGAATATAATAAATTTTATCATAAAATCCAAGAAAAAAATTGGATAATTCGTTCTCGTGATTTTTTTAAAAAATCCTAATAGAATGAATTCTATAGAGAAAAATCAAGATTTATAGTTTTTTTCTGTAAAAAAATATCTGTTGAAAAACGGCAGTCGCATAATTATAATCTTTCTCAGAGAAAGCATTGCATTTTTCCATTAATTTATTATCACACGTGATGTATTTCATTGCGGATTCCCCACATGTTATTCCTCACATTTTTTATTCCCCTTATTCATCAGCAGACAATTAGTCTATTCATAAGTAACCGTGAACCGGAATCATAACAACAATAAAATAATTTTTAATCATCACCAACTTGTTGATATCATTATGAAAACACATGTCTTTTAATGCTTGTGTATTTAAACTGCTACAAGTGACACATTTCTAGTAAACAAAATCAGTGAATGATTTAACGAATAAAAGAAGCAGAGGGTGGTTTAAAAAATGGAAAATTCAGAGAAAAATTAGATTTATTCATTGACAATAATTCCTAGATCAGTTGAAACAAACTAATTTAAACCTAACGAAGCCACTTTATACCCAATAAAATCAAGTGCGCGACCTCAAACGCACCCAGATGCCGCCGTTAATTGACACCAGGAAGTATCTGGGGTCGAGCCGAGCCGGTTCATTCATTCTCTCCGACCTTTCAATGACGTAATTCTTCAGAATAGCAGCCATCCCAGCTTTGACCTGGAGTAAGCCCATCCTCATGCCAGGACACATACGAGGTCCCTCACCAAAGGCCAAATACACAAACTTGTGCCTCTGCTCCTCGCAATCTTTATCGAATCTCTCCGGTAGGAATTCCTCCGGATTCTCCCAGTACTGCGGATCCATGTGAAGACTCGCCACAGGAATGTGGACCTCGTCCCCTGGTCTCAAGGTGCAGGTGAGGCCATCGGGCCCCTCCAGAGTCACCTGCTTCGAACAAAGTCTCGACATTCGTCCAACAGGTGTGAACAGCCTCAAAGACTCCTTCGCAACTTGTTCGATGTACGTCATGTCGTTTATTGCTTCATAGGAGCAGATGTTGCCGTGCTTCTTCAGGACCTCCTCAACTTCCTCCCTCATCTTCTCTTGGACCTTTGGATACTTCGCCGCAAAGTAAGCCATGAGGCCCAGCGTCGAGCTCGACGTCTCGTACTGTTCGACGATAAAACTGAAGGCATGAGCAGCTAACTCGTCACTGTCCAAGCCCTTCTCCCTCAGATAATCAGCAATATGCTGAAGAACATCGTTCCTCGCCGTTTTATCACTACCCCTCATCGATTTGATGTCCTCAACCATCCTCTTGAAGCCAACATTCACCCACTTCGGCGCAAAGCCAGTAGACAACAGCTTTCCCAATGCTGGCAGCAGTATGATCAAGTTTTGCGCGTACCCTATGCTATCCGTTATTTTGAACATGCTGTGCATCATGCTGCGAAGGGAGTGGGTCTCAACTTTATCAACAAACGTGTGTCCATCGATACTGAGAATGGAATTAGCCCCTACATCTAAGGTGTATTTCTCAAATAAGTCTTTTATCTCGAGTTCGACAGATCCGGTTTTCCCGCACTTTTCTCTCAGGTAATTCACCAATTTTTCACACGTAGCACTGATCGCGGGGATTCTGTCCTTCAATTTCTTTGATGAAAATGCACTGACGAATACTCCCCGGGCGTCCTTCCAACCCTGTCCATTTTGAAAGAACGGATCGTGGAAGAGGAGAGGATCGGTCTTCTTGTCGAGGGTTATGTTGTCGCTGAAGTAGGTGAATCCACTGCTGAGGACAAATTTCACCAGGTCTGGGTGTCTCACTACGAGAACGGGAGTCTGAGCTACGTAGATTCCCACCATGCTGTCGTGGGGATGAGCCTTGTAGAAGACGTCCGTCATCATTCCCATGTTTTTTCGTAGTAGGACTTGGTCCAGCACGTGACCCACTCCGATAACAGCTCCTTTGGCCTCCGGAATGCCTCGCGCTTTCCAGTAGCCATGGTTCCTGGTCAGGTATTTGTAGAGTAAGAGGATGAAGAAGAGTGTGAGAGCGATTGGGTAGAGACAACAAGACTCCATGTTGCTTGCGTGCCGGTCTGGTGCGTACTGCATTGGTTTTACAATCTACGTAACGACTGGGAGTGTAATCATCTTCTGTTGCGAGGTTGCGATACATGTACAATGGGTGTGCGTGTATTGTACAAGCGCTGTGCGATGAATATTTAAACATCAGCCATGAGTTGAGATAGTTTACTTGTGTTTCTCATGTTGGACGTAGAATATTCTGATGCGCGTGGAAGAATGATGTATTTGATTCTAATAACTATTCATTAGAAATCGCTGGTCATGGCAATTGGAATGTTTTGATTATGCGAAAGAGATGATTTGTTGAATCAAAATAAATCCTCAATTAGATTCGAATAAACTACTTGGTTGACCCAGGTGAAGAATCATGACTTTTCCAAATGACATTTGGCTGTATTAAAAGAAATATATTCATTTGATGTCGATAAAAACGCAAAAAAAATTATTCGAATAAAGTTTAGGAGATGAGCTATTTCTCTGGATGCATTGGAGGGGAAAAATATTTTGGGAGTGCTTGCAACTTTATTACATGTTGATTACAATATTAAGAATTTTTTTACTAAAATTTCTTGTACACTTCGGGGTAATTTTTCTAAAATTATAGTTACACTGAAATTTTGAAAAAAATTGTCATTAAAAATTCGAAAATTTAGAGAAGAATCAATGTGACAATCTAGCACTAGAATTTCTCTAAAAAATTTCTCTCCGTGTGTATAAATATTCTTAAATCATATACAAACTTTTTCGCACTTGAAAAACATTTCCACGTGTGATTAATTGACTCTCACACCTTTAAACATCACCTAAATTGAATCTTCCGCTGACGAATATTCCGCTAGTTTCAGGTTTATTATCACAGCCTCATCTCGTAGGCTTTTACAAGCATATATATATATACAACGAAGTTTTTTAGTCGCTCTCTAATATGAGCTTGTATGATTGAAAACTGAGGAACTGCTAATAATTAGGTGTTATCGATGAAAATAGTCTATTATCTCAATAATAAAATACGATGGTTATGATTATTAATTGGTCCCATATGAATTCATGGAATAACATCATGGGATACGTTTATAACACAAAAAACATCATTCGGAGATGTGATTTCTTGCCGCATTACCCCAGAATCCGATTAGCCCGCCCATATATATTATTACAACTTTTTTCCACAGGTCTAGTGCACACAAACAGGCTGTAAATTCAGGGGTTGTACTCATGTTTACAATACGGATTTTTTTCCGAGATCGTGCTTCATGGTTCAAGTAACGGGGATCCGCAGGTTTTAGGTAAAATTTATGAAGACCGAGGCTCACGCCCCAAATCTTAAATAACAAAATCACTGTAAAATGTCCGGAAACTTAGGGTTGAACGTAGTCAAATTAATGCTCTGATGTGGGACTACCAAAGTAGAAATCAGTAGCAAAGTGGTAAACCGGTTTAAGTCGACTTATCTCCCAGTTGAGTTTTTGAGGAATATTTCCGAATCTAACCGAGATAGCGAAATTTTCGTAATTATATTTGTTATAGCTCTCATTCAGCTCTACAAAAAAGGTTATAACAAAAATTTTGCCATCTCCCTTAGATTCCGAGATATTTATTAAAAAGTAGTCAATAGTCAAAATTGACTTATACCGTTTTACCAGTTCACTACTGAAATCATTTCACTGGAGATAAAATAGCAAAAGTACTTGGATATCTTTGATAAGAATTGAAGTAAACAAATTTATATTGAAGAAACACGTGATGGAACGAATCTATTCACATTTAAATAAATCTCAAGGTTCTTCACTTCCAATAAAAATATCATAGAAATGAATAGAAAAATGAGAAAAAAATTTATTCCATTCGAACGCGTCATTTTTCTTATTGTAAAAAGGGAAAAAGTCATACACTGAGAGAAAAACGACAAAGTTCTCAAACAAGTCTTACTTGTACCAAGAAAATGGTTTTTTTGACAATTATCAAAAAAGGATTTTTTTGTGCCAAACATGCAGAGAGTGCGCCGGAATGAAAAATTTTTGTCGCAAAAATAGATTTAGTAGTGAGAAGAAAACGAAAGGAGGGGGAGGCAGGCTAGAGGAGGGGTTTCAAATCGAAAATTACTTCGATAAAACCAAATGAAATAGAAAAAAAAATAGATTTAGTAGTTGAAAAAAAATTGCATTCTCTGTATACGCAAGAAATGTCATTTCTAGCATTACTCCTTCGTTATTTGATACTCCCATACGTATTTTGCTCCCGAAAAATCGTTTTATGCGAAACAAGGGATAGTAGTTTTTCGTGTCGGCTGTCTAATAATCACAGACAACAAATGAACCCTTAAATGAAGCAATCACAATGATATGATAGCAATCTTGTAACTTAGGGATAAGATATTTTTTGATAAATTTTCCTCTATATGAGATATTTTCATCCTGAAAAGGCACCGTCTGATGTGAATGATCCGCTTCTTGAGCCCAATATTTCGTTGCTGTCGAAGGCAGAACAATTATTCATGTTTAAAACTTTCAAGTTCGAACCAAACAAATTCTTTTTTGGCAATTTTCAACTAGCGATTTTGTTGACAGAAAAAAGACTTGTTTGACAACGTGTTCGTTTTTCTCTCAGTGTACATTTAAATAAATGTTCAGACCATTTTCCACCGAAATTACTAGGGATCCGAAGTCATTCACTCGACGCCTCATTTTTTCCCCGCAGATGGGCACGGTTATCTCATGTTTTAGCGATTGTATACAATCTCCAGGATCATTGCACCTCTGCGAGGCTCTTAGGTACAGTAAACGTGGCATGTGGGTGAGGGGCTGTTGGGAGGTGAGGAGAGTGGCAAAAGCGCCGGGAGGAATGTTCCGGACGCCACGACTCTGGCAGGCCTGCACAATCCCAAACTCCCCCATTTCTCCTCTCTCCTTCTTCCTCCATCCTTGCAGACAAGCAGCCTCACCGCTCGGTTTGTCTCATTGTTACCAACGACCCCGGTGAGAGATACAAGTGCCTCCTGCGCTTGGCGTTTATGACGCCGCCTCGAGTTAAGATATCTTTCTTGTCCCTTCACTACTTTCCACCCGAGCAGAGAGAAAAAATGTATAATGGGGAGGAGAAACTAATCCGATAATGTTCAGGACCTAATTTTTTTCAAGGAGCAAATTTCTTCTTGGTATTGTGATTATCTACGTGCAATAAAGTGAACAATTTTTGGAATTTCGGAATAGTGTAGTTTATCCAAACTCCACGTAAGTCGTTGTATTGAGTTTAGCGATAAAAAATAAATTAAAATTGCCGGAAAAAAAATTTTCGTCATTGATAATTTCTTACGTGAATTCCAACTTCGACGAGAGTAAAAAATTAATCTATGGAATTCTTTCCACAATTATTTCCTTAGACAATGGACACATCAATTATTTATCACGAAAGTTTGATACTGGTGATAATTTTTGTATTCAACATTAAGTTTATTTTTTTCTAATTCTTTTTAGATTTTTTCCACATTTTCATCTTCTGTCTAATCTCGAAAAATTCATAGCCTATTCTCATAAGACTGTATTATTTTTCCACCTCGGAATTAATTATTATTAATAATACTAGAACTTGAATTGAGCACGAACTAGAATGTTTTTATTCAAATGGACTTCTGTTTGGAATTTAGTTCCGATGTTCATCTGCAAAATTTAAGATAAGTTTATACTACTTGAAATTCTTAGTTGGCTCATTTGTCATCAGAGCGACTGCAGGACCGATTCAATCTACTTAATTTATTCTTCGTTGAATTGATTCATTCACTTCAAAAATTATATTTATTGCCGGCACGGAGGATAAGTTTTTTTGGAGCAACTGAATCTATTTTTACGACAGAAATTTTTCATCTCAGGACAGCCGTCAAATGGTCGGCACTAGATTTGATTTTTTGAGTAAATTTCAACTAGCGATTTCTTTGGTTCAAACAAGACCAATAAAATGTTTAGGAAATTATTTATGTCCTCTCAGTGGGATTGCAAAGAATTAAATATAGATTCACGTGAACATATTCGCCTACACTTTTCTCATTTGCATTGATTCTCACGGAATAATTGAGCTGAAATTTGCTGTCTGTCGAGTTTTCACAAAAATTTCCATGAAGTGTACGAAAAATTCCACTCGAAGCTTTTCTAACAACGTACTCACGAAGTTATTTGCTTCAATAGAAAATACTCTCTACAACTTTATGACTATTTTGAAAGCCCCAAAGAAAATCCTATTGCCAAATCCATTGAAGTACGGTTTAATCCTGAGTTATAGCGGATTACCGCGTCAATTCACCCCAGGATCAGGTGTGTACGTCCACGCTAGCTACGAATATAACCCGACGTAACGATGTAATGCACTATAAACATCAGAGAATATTTCCAAACACCAATTAAAATGCGCCCGAAATCCCCGCTCATCAATCTCCCTGCATTATCATCCCTTTTTTCCGACAGTAACAATAAAAAAAACAACAACAACGCCGATATTTCCCATCGATTGCTTATTAACTGTAAAAAAAAACACAAAAAAAATATGGACAAATTCATTTCGATTATTTTTCATTTATTGGATGCATATATTTTCTGTGTCGTCTACCGCGGCTGACCCCGGGGGGAGATAGGGATGGGGCTTTTGGAAACCGGAAACGAATTATTTTTTCAAACACGAAGGTTTGACATAGGAAATTACGAATTTTTGCTCCTGAGAAGTAATTATTCGGCATTTACTTGGTTCGGTAGGTCCCTAGGCAGCTGTTAGCAACGAAAGGAAGGTTTAAACTGGTACATTTAGAAATGACGACGATTTCTCAAACGTAAAATTATGAATTTTTAACCGAATTTTAGCAAAAACGTGATTCTCGCATAGGAATCATCGACTTTTTGATTTTGAGCAGTAACTATTTAGCATTTACATAGTTCTGTAGGTGTGCAAGAAGCTATTAGCAACGGGAAAAAGATTTAAAACAACTCATTTCGAAATAACGGAGATTTTTCAAGAGCAAAATCATCAATTTTTAATGGAATTTCAGAAGA